ATGGAGTCCATTTTCAGCGACGTTATCCAGGGGTTCACGCCATTAACAGATGTATTCTTCCTCCTCCGTGAACACGTAGAAATAATGCATATTAGAATGAATCCTCATGAAATACAGAGCCTGGCCAGAACGAGGGTCGGAAGATTTGACAGAGCAGAGCTGAGAGCAGCCGTGGTAGTACTGTATTTACAGTACTACGGAATGTACAGTACTTCAGTACAACACTACTACAGCCTGTATTATCAAGCACACACTTACACACGTGGACAAAATTGTTGGTACCCCTCAGTTAAAGAAGGGAAAACCCACAATTCTCACTGAAATCACTTGAAACTTACAAAAGTAACAATAAATAAAAATTTATTGAAAATTAAATAATCAAAATTAGCCATTCATGTGTGTGTCCATGTCCACATGCAGTACCAGACACCAGAGAGAGACTCAAGTGGACACAGTGATTCCCCCAGGTGCATGTTGGGTAAGTCTCGAATAATGCGTAGTGACAGTGAACAGAAGGAGGCGATTTCTGCTCATGTCATTTCCTCTTTTTCTTCTCGCTTCCTGCTTGGTGTCAACAGGACTTTAAACTGCTGTTTGTTCAGCTGCGTGTCAGGGTCAGTGCCTGACTTTGTTTCATTCACTTTTTTGTTTGTTTGTCTGTCTCTCTCTGTGTGATTTCATTGCTGTGATATGACTCCATCACTCAGGTTGTCACTTCACAGTAACCTAATTGGTCAGAAAACTATTATTTATTTACAGCTGATAATTTTTCATCGTTCATCAATGCCACAGTGATGAGCAGAGCAATTAAATATCCGTCCACTGGGAGGCAGCAATTTGCTATAGAAACAAAAAAATAAAGACTAAAGGGTCCCCTACACTGTCTTTCTTGAATTCCTGCAAGTATATCAACATTGTGTTCAACTAAACAGGCCCATGTTCCATACTGAGTAATAGTGGGTAATACTGAAACCAGAAGACCAATACATTTTATTGTGTGAATTTTTTATGTTTGTGGTATTTTATTTATTTGTACCATGGGACTTTTTATAATATACAATATGTAATTTTATCACAATTATTTTTTCAAATATGCCTTTCCCAGAATGATCATTTCACCTACAGAATTAAATAAAAGGAACAAGTATATATATACATATAAACCTTCAGTCAAGGTAACAACACTCAGACAACACTGTCCCACTGAGTCACTACACTAAGGACCGGCACACAGTCTCGTCTCCACCAGACAGCAAAGCCCCGGGGCCTCCGGTCTTCAGCCATGACACTGTAGCAGGTCTGTTCTGCTGTTCCAGGAAGCCTCAGATGAGCAGGAAGCCCCTGGACATCGCCGCTAATCACTCAGCCCTAAACAAGCAGCTTTTTAAATCACCTCAGAGAGAAAAGAACCAGGAGACATTTACAGAGCAGGCAGCCAAACAAGGCCCCAGGCCTCCAACCAATTTAAATCCCAATTACTTTTTTTTTTTTTCAAACGCTCTCACGAGGTTAAAGCGTGTGTCTGTGTAAGTTTGTCGTGCATGTTTGTGTTTACGTTTTATGGATTGCATGTCTGTGGACTGCCAGCACAACCAGCCTTTGTAAACAAAGGTCATTCCCTGTGTGCTATTGTTTGGATTAGAGTCAGTGATTCAGTCAGTCAGCCCAGCCTGGTCTGGGACCAGTAGAGAACTGGATTATTGTCAAAGGATTTTTACACTTATCATCGTTACACATTCAACAGCCAGGATTCAGTCATACTGTACTGTGACAATTAATGTTGACTGTCCTGCTACCTTTTTACTCACTTTAACATTGTTTAATTAGCATTTAGCAATTGATGCTATATTTTAGAGAAAAACAACAAAGTTATTTTTGAGATAATGTAATTTTAAACTATAGTTTAAAATTCATTATCAAAGTTTGACCTAATTTTGCTAAGTTGGATGTTTAGTGGTAAAATTTCCATATTTTGTATCGACTATATTTTAGTTAATAGTTCTGTTTTGACTGCATATCTATATCTATCTATAATTAATATAATTAATTTACTTTGTATAATTTAAATGGTATATTTAGTACCTCATAACTATATATATATAGTTAATTATATAACTATATATAGAGAGTAAATTTATATACTGTAAATGTATTGGGTAATTGGTTATTTTCTGAGCTGGATGTGAATAAAATGATTTTTATTTGCAAAATGTATGAATTCTTTCTCTCTTTTCTAAAGAAATAGAAACTTTCATCTCTGAGGCTAAACACATGTTTGTGTGTAGTGTTTAGTGCCGTTAGTAATGTTTAGAAAAAGGCTAAAGCCAAAAGCACACAAACTCCCACCAAAGGCCTCACCTTTACATAAAGGTCATCAGTGGCAACCTGACTTGACCTCTGGGATTCACAGGTGAGACCTCATGACTTTGAAATGCCCCACCCTTGCCCTCCCAGCCAACCCCTCTGTCTTTATCTTAAACACACACACACACACTCACACACACACAACCACTGAGAGCAGGTCACCATGTGTTGTTTTACACCAACAGGACAGATGGGATTTGGAGAAGAAGACTTCGGCCACATGCACCACGTAAGTAAAAATGCAGCGTTGCTAATTATTTGATGATCACAACTGAGAAGTGAAAACATGAGCACAAACACGTGCACATGCAGTAAATAAGGCCTAAAACACAACATTATATCGACAGAATACCGTGGAACAGGAGCTGCTGGTGCTCACAGCAGTGTGTGTCCACTGACGATGAGAGACACAGCTCCTGCTCCATTTTACAACAAACCTCTAGGTGGCAGTCTTGTCATTTCAACCTCTGTCTGTGATGCCGCTTCAACAACTCAAAACACAAAAACTCATCAGCGGCAGTGACAGCGAACTGTGGTTGAGCCTCAAAATGAAACCAGTCCATCAGTTGAGGCTCAAAATGATACCAGTCCATCAGATCAAAAGTGACAGACAGTTGTTTTGTGCTTTCAAACTAATTCACCTAAAACACCGACGTATGGTTCAGAGACAGAGGCTCTGTCTGATAGACAAAAGTCTGAGCTGGAGGTGGAGGAGATGAAGATGAAGATGCTGAGATCTTCACTGGGAGTGACCAGGATGGACAGGGTCAGAAATGAGCAGCTCAGAGGGACAGTTAAGGTGGAGATGGTTTGGAGATGTGCTGAAGAAAAACGGTGGAGATGGAGGTAAGAGACAACAGAAAGTTAGAGAAGGTGAAGATGGAGATTGGAGATGTGCTGAGGAGAAATGGTGGAGATGGAGGTAAGAGACAACAGAGAAAGAACCAAAGAAGAGTCATAGACATCAAACTGTAGTCATTAAGAAAGCAGTTCTGTGATGTGACGTTAAGTTAGTGACGGTTATATGAAACACTCACTTGTTATTATGAAATGAATTGTGTTTAATTATATAATTATAATTATTTTATGAGCTACTAGGTTTTAATTGTGTTTAATTATATAATTATTTTATGAGCTACTAGGTTTGGACAGTTTTCTAAGAAAGCGTTTATGCTCTGTGATAAACACGAGGGGCCACGAAATGTGTCATGGAAATAACAGTTGACAACTGTCAAGAGTACTATAAAGGTTTGGTCAAAACTTGGAACAAAAATCACTTCACTCACAGAAAACATTTACATTTAGCTTCAGTACGACTACAAGTTGTTTTTAAATCTAAATATAGTCACAAAAAAGAAGAAATTTGAAAAAAAAGCCAAAAGTAGCAACACGCTATGTATTTTCCATCTCAGGGTACATTTGAAAGATGTGGAGTTCCACGCTAATATTAGAAGAAATAAAAGTTTATGGAGAAGGTGTAGAAGTACAAGAGGCAGGAGAAAATGATGGAGAAGAAGAAGAAGAGAAGAGGAAGAAAAAGAATATGGAGTAAAAGGAGGGGATGGAGAAGAAGAAGAAAAGAAGAGAAGAGAAAGAAAAAGAATATGGAGTAAAAGGAGGAGAAGATGAAGACCAACAACAACAAGAATATATAACAGTCTCATGATCAGACTCATTATTGCCTCTCTCAGTTGGGAGCAGTGCATCATGGGTACTCCCTCCACTGTGATGTGACACCTTTGGAGACAGTGAATTATAGACACATGCAGCAGGTTTCCTACAACAATACACCAGAACCTTTTCCAACAGCCGGCCCTCCATTCATCCACAGACTCCAAACACAGCAGCAACACCCCTCACTCACTGCTACATGACATTTCACTCCCTAGCCAAGTGTCTCCTCCCCCACATACACACACTCATATATATACACACAGGTTTATCAGTGCAGGCCTAGGTGCAGTATGTTTTCATTACTTCAATCTAAGAAAGTAAATTTAGCTAAAGGCTTGCCATGAGTAGCTTTAAAGTGATATATCTATAAAGACAGAAATTGCTACATGTGACCAAAAATTAAAATAAAAAAAATAACGGTAATCTGTAACCAAAACCCAGTCAAGAATTAGGTAAAAAAGAATAAAAATTGAATCTGAATTTTTTTCCGAAATGACCTGTAACGCAATCCAAAAACACACACCAATGTGAAGAGGATCTGGACTGCAGGCAGGCCAGTCAAGAACACACACTACACACCTCAATCAGCCACACATTTATATTGTGTTTAGAATGAGTCATGTGATTCTCCTCAGTCCTCAGTCAGAGGATGTCCTTTAAACAACATTCTTATCATAAAAATGTCCTCAGTCTTCAACAGAGGGCGATCTTTAAACAACATTCTTATCATAAAAATGGAAAGCCGCGCCTCAGTGGCTCAATCTATGGTCATAACGATTCTCATCCAATGGTCACTGATGCAACAACACGTCTATACAGATGCTTCAGGGAGTAAATAGTACCACAATCTTTTTTAACTGTTGGAACTTACGAGTACAAATTCAAAAGAGCAGATGAGTACAGGAAGTAGGATTATGGTTTACTACCAATGATAGAAACGTTAAAGTCCTCAGTGAACCTACCTGTTCAGGGATCTCAGATTCAGGCTCGGTTTCAATGCTGCAACATGAGCTGAATGTTTCGAGTCCATTCTCCTCCCGCAGCATCCTGCTCCCCGTCCACAGGCCTGAGTGGAAAGAAAACGCTGCTAAAACCCGACAAGAGTCACATTTAACATCTTTGCTTTTGGTATTTATACACACTGGCTACCAGAGACACCTCCTTACACCCATGGTTTTCCCTCCTTCCTTGGCTGCAGGACTGTGGGTGCACCTGGACTCACTCCCCAGCAGAGTCGGAGTTTTTTGCTCTGACAGCTAACACTGCTCGCTGTGCACTGATTGTCTTATCTGCCCATTTATCACAGTTGAATTGGAACCAGCCTTGCCTGAAACCTGCTTTCAGACTCCGTTCGGGTGACTTGGGATGCATGATGCCGCAATTGCTCAGCTACCACTGATGGTGGTGCAAATGGTTTCTGGGACGGTCCAACAAAACATTGTGTGTTGCATAACTGACTACGTACCGATAACGATGACATCTGACTTGACGCTAAGGCGCCAGGTTGGCCCCGTGACACACATTAATGAACACACACACACACTGTAACAACACGTGGGCCCAGTGTAAGGGCTCTGAGCAGAAACAAAAGAGGAACTTCAGAGAACTGAACCCCTCAGCTGGTACAGTGGAGTTCAACATGCTCTCATCTTACTCACACATTTACATTAACATCACCTTTGGATGTTCTACAGTTCAGGATGAACTCAAAGATGCAGAACAGCATCGAAGGTAAAGTCTTGGTGCTGTGATGATGGTGCCTAGGACTGGTATGGACCTGTCAGAGGACACATTTCATTGTGCTGTGCATCAGTGACAATAATTCACGTGTTTCTCTTTTACCTGCGAGTCTAATTTACTTGACATAATGCAGTGTTGACAGGACTTATCACATCAGGCTGTACGTCCGTCAGAACAACTCTGTTATCTTTACTGAGTTCTCTTCTCCTACATGGGAAAAGTATTATCACTCCTCAGGAGATCCAGGACCAAAACTTGTGTGTGGAGCGTCAGACTTTTCAATTTCAAAGACTTCCCTTTATGAACAGGTTGCCTTTGGTGAGATCTGTGAAAGATAAACATTAAATATGCATCCGGATCTTCTGCTCAGGCGAGTGAACTGAATCTGTATGAATGGCTAATGTGTTGCTGTGACTGCGAGCAAGTGCGAGATTGATCACTCATTACGATATCTGCTCCATTGGCCATTAACACCCGCGAGGAGACTAACCACTGCCCCCGTCACTGGGGTTAAATTGAGAGTGAACAAGTGACTATGTGTGTGTTTGTGTGTGCAACAGGGCACGAGGGAGGATTGGCAGTTGCAAAATCCAAACACGGTCAACTACAGGCTGGCTGCTGGAATGACGGTGGCGGAGAGTGGGTTCAGGTGTCGTGCCATACAGGGGTCGTACAATGCACCTCTACTGTTTCCCACCAGGGAGGCTGCCATTTGTGTTTATCACACTCACTAACCACAGTTTGGCCACAACGCCACGGATAAAAGTGCAGATGTCTCTTTAATGGGAGAAAATCATACGTGTGATAATATTAGCCTTCAAACCGCAGGCATCTACGTTCACGTTCCTGTGACCTTTGCCCCCCCGATGGTCCATTCACTGCTGGTCATTGAGTAAAACAAAGCCACAGGTGTTTTCCTGTGCCTGAGGCTCGATCCACTCCTGCCATGGAGTTTTATCGAGAAATGTGACAAATTGTTCAGGTATCAAATGTCAATCCGATTAATCCTCGTTAATTAAGGTAAATCAATACTCAAAACGTGAAATACTAAATGTGACATAAAATATATATACACATATATTTTTATTGATATACACATATAGTATATATACTGTATGTGTATAAACAGTATATGTATGTGTAGATATGAGTATATCTATGTATATTTATATATATAAATATATACATATATACATTTATATATGTACATATACTGTATATAAATATATATACATCATATATAGAGAGAGTGAGCACAGCCAATGTATGAAGAGTAATGGTCTAAATAAATTTTGTTTGTTCGATTAATTTATTGATTATTGATTAATTACAACTAATCAGGAACTTTTTGGGGTAAAAACATGAAAAAAAACAGCAGTTCAAATTCAAAAGCCAAACAGACAGATTCCCTCCCACAGTTACAAGGATGTCAACAAAAGGACAAAGGTTTAATAAATCTGTCCGTGACATGTGCACGGCTCCTCGTTCACTTTTCCCTCTCTGCTTCACGTGTCTGACTCGTACTCTTGTCTCAGACACCTGCCTGAGAGAAGGATTTACTTGTATTACACACAGTACATTGAACCCGTCAGTCAGACGGCAGCGCAGCTGTCTGAGCGTCCGTTTGTGTCTGAGATTTTTGCATTCCTTCAGAAATGAGCCCTGCTCATCAAGCGCCGCAGACGCCCAGCTTTAAATGTCAGCGTGGGGACAAATGTTGTGACAAGCTGCTCCTTTAGTGACATGTCAAAAATGCCTCAAATGCATTTTAATTACCTCTACTGAATGACTAACGACGACTATTAAAGACAACATATTAAATTTATACCTCACTGATTCGTCTGTCAACACGGAGCTACTCTGTCATTGTGTCGTCTCTCACGCTGTCACGTTACTTTATTTTAGAACAAGCTTTTTTTAAACTCCTCCTCCTAGACTCCTGTAACTATTTCCAGGTCAAACTGAGGGATTTCTCAAGCACTCCCATAGTCTTTGCTCTCCAACTTTTCCAGGACCCTACAGCCAAGATGTCTTATTGTCTCCACACACATGGCTATAACTACGAATCACTGTTAATCAATCGACAGCTGTCCTTCATGATTCACTGATCAGATGAAGTTTTGTCACGTTTTTTAATTTGAGCTTTGGAGCTTTTTTTGTTGTTGCTGTTATAAAAACCTGTATTTTCAATATTATATTTGAGCTTTGGAACTTTTTTTGTTGTTGCTATTTTTAGTTATAAAAACCTGTATTTTCAATATTATTTACATGATTTTCAAGGATTTCTACATTCAGGACTAATACATTCAGCTAAGAGTTCAGAAATTTTAGAAAGACCATTACTTTTAAATTCACATCAATGTTCTGGCTTTCTAGCATTCATTCTAATTTTTTATATTTACATTAATTACATTACACTGTAAAAACACTAGTACGATGCTTTTATTCACATCTTCAACTTAGTTTTGGATTAATATTTCTTTATTTGTACTTTTGTTTAAAGGATCTTTATTAAATTGTTATTTTTCTTTCTTTTCGACTAACCTTCAACCTCATTCTGGCTACACTTCTTTGTCCTGTTTATTACATGAAAAAAATATTGCAAAAATATAAGATGTTTTGTACTCCGTCTGAGCGGAACTGTCCAGAAGTTCATTTTTCCACACTTAAGACTGAAAATGATCTAACAGGGGAGGGGATGGGGGCAGTGGGCTCTGCGGAGAGCCAGAGTATTTTCTTCGCAGTGATGTTGTGCTGACATGAAGCCTGTTTTGCTGCCCTCTCTCTCTGGAAAGCCTCTGTCCACAGGGACCTCATTTCATACGGGGCCAGGGGACCCCTATTCATCTCCTCCCAAATGGGATGGCATCCTCCAGGGGAGAGGGGTGACACAGTCTGTGCCAAGGCGACAGGGAAGTCCTTCTAACTGATAATAGCAGTCGACGGGGGGAACAACCTCAGCAGGCAGCGAGCCAGACAACTGTCAATCACGGCCTCCCTCCACTCGGCCTTTCTTTCCTTATTTATTTGTTTACTGTGCTGTATTCCTGCCTCTCCTCTCGGTGCAGCTCATTTTATTCCACACCGTGGTATTTCCGTGTGTTTAATAGGCACGAGGAGGACAGTTCATCTAACTACTGATCATTTATTTCTTCATTGGATGACGAGAGCGTCATATGTACTTTTTAGCTAATGAGCAAATGCGACAATAATAATTATACGTGTGTGCAATTGCATTATATAAATTAATGACTAAATAAAATGTATTTTCTCGCCAATTAGTTTCATTGTATAATTATATTTGTTCAACTATAAACAGAATGCAATTGTGGAAAATTAGAAAAACAAAACTGGATGAAATTCTTGGACCCTGGGATTGAACCCCTAACCCATGAAGTGAAAGGCAGCCATGTCCCCCTGGTTATCACAGTTTCTCCAGCTGCTTTGTGATATTAGTCACCAGACTGTCTTAGGTGGACAAAATCTAGTACACGACAGAATCTAGTACACGTCTTAGGTGGACAGAATTTAGTACACGACAGAATCTGGTACACGACAGAATCTAGTACACGACAGAATCTGGTACACGACAGAATCTAGTACACGACAGAATCTAGTACACAACAGAATCTAGTACACGACAGAACCTGATACACGACAGAATCTCACCACGACTTCACAATCCCATCACCGTAGTGTTCCTGGAAAAGAAGGAATTTTGTTCCACTCTGAATTACCATGGTTACCACTGACACGTAACACACATGTACGCAGAATTCTGATTTCTGTAGATGTCAGTATTTGTACCAACTAGCCTGTACTAAGTAGCTTAGTATAAATACACATACTCTTAATACCCTAATTCCGAGGCTAGCCTTTGGGCTAATAGCTATTGTTTTGTGCTATGTTTTTACTACAAATGGTGTATTAATGAGACAGTCCATCACAGATGTCTCTGCGTGACGACTGCCCCAAGGCATTTTCGCTGTACGTGTTATGAATGTGCGTGCCGGAGCCGACTGCATGTGTGTACCCAAGAAAAACAGTGATTCATGGGAATTTCTACGTCTTGTTCTAAACGAATATGATTTCCAGTTTTTTTTTTCATGACGCACACAGCAGCTGTAAATACACAGACGAGAGACGAGAATAACGTCACATGCACGTGAAGACGCAGGAAGTGTGTGTCATACATGTTAGCACGGGGTCATTTCTGTAGCATTCACTTTGTTTAACTGTAGGGCAGCCATGATAACATTAGAAAATGTGAAAGTTGAGGAACAACCTGACAAATACATGTTCTCTAAAATGATGAATCTTAAATGA